GAGCTTGGGGATGGGGAAGCAGAAGCTCGGGGCTGGTGGGGAGAGGTGGCATGCCCTTGGGGTATGGGACTGGGAGCCAGATGCAAACCTCCAGTTGCTCAGAAACACGAGGTGGTACAGCAGCTGATGTCCCCAAGCGCTGTCCCAACTCAGGGATGCCTTGTTGACATGGAGGAGCACAAGGTATTACGCAAGAAATGACACATACGTGATTTAACGTACGTTCTATACTGCTTTGAGGACAGTACTGGGTTTCTGTGCCTCTTGGGCTGCCAGAGCTCCGTAGGGCTGGCAGAGCAGACGAGTGGCCACCGATGTAGCTCAGAAACGCCATCTCTCTGCCCACAGACGTTGACGAATGTACCGTCAACCGTTTGCTGTGTGACAACGGACTGTGCCGCAACACCCCCGGCAGCTACACCTGCACCTGCCCCAAGGGCTTCGTCTTCAGGACGGAGACGGACACTTGCGAAGGTAACGGGACTCTGAAGGCACAGGAGAGCATCTTCACAAGGTTTAAAGATTGAACTAGGTCTTGAAGTCCTGCCCAAAAGGGAGGTCAAGGTCTAACGTGTCGTTGGTTCCTTTTTGACCGCAGTGGTTTGAACTGGACCAGGTCCAGGCTTTGTGGGCTTGGGGTTTTTTTTTTTTTCTTACTTCAAATTTCACACTTCAAATTGGTGAGCATCCCAACCCAGAATATCTGGGCTTTTCAGTGGCTGAAAATCAGAATAATTTCCTTTAGGCTCCCCCAAATTTTAGGTAAAACCTGACCAAAATTGCAAGTTTTGGGGGATTTGATTGAAAGGTTGGAGTGGGGGAAATTGTTTCCTGCCCACAGAGTCCTCAAACATTTGAGAACTGGCACTTTGCATGTAAATGTCTGTTTAGAAGAAAAAAAAAATGTTTCTGTAAAGAAGGTGAAAAATGGCAAATCGTAAATGTCTGTTTAGAAGAAAAAAAAATAAAAATTTTCTGTAAAGAAGGTGAAAAATGGCAAATGCTGTGTAGCTTCGCATCTGGTTCAGACAGATAGATGTGCAGGACTCCCACAGCTGAAAAACTCCTCGCATCTGGTTCAGACATATGTGCAGGACTCCCACAGCTGAAAAACTCCCTTCTTCATCTTCTTTGCTTCTCATCTCCCCCAGTCTCTGGCCCAGGAAACTGGGTCCCCTGGCCCTCCCTGCAGTGACAGTCCCTTCCCCCCCAGATATCAACGAGTGCACCTCCAACCCTTGCGTGAACGGCGTCTGCAGGAACAACGCCGGCTCCTTCGCTTGCGAGTGCTCCCCCGGCAGCAAACTGGACCCCAGCGGCACCATCTGCGTGGGTAAGGATGGGACCCTCTCGAGCAGCTCTGATGGTGCCCATCAGCACCCCTGGGTGTTCGTCTGAAGCTCCTGCCCCAAGGATGGGGATCCCTTGAGACCTTTCTCTCTCTCACCAAGCGCTTCCTTGGGTGTTGTGAACAATTAAAGTCTATTTTTTGCATCCAGGAAGCCTGAAGAGCTGCAACCTCAGGCAGTGTCAGACACAGAAATCCCCAAATGTGCAGCAGCAAGCCCAAGGAGGTCCCAGGGTGTGCTGCCAGGGCAGCGGGGTGGTGGGTTCTCACTCCCCAGGTGGGTTTGTAGGGTGCTGAGATTAAGGTACATCGAGATGAAGTAGATCCTGTCTCATGAGAATGAGCACAGGACAGACACGGAGCTGCTGGAGCGGGGCCAGAGGAGCCACGGAGATGGTCCGAG